ATATTTTTTATGCATCTAAATACATTGTCTAAAAATATCGGAAGATTATGTCTACCTCAATTTTAAAAACCCATTATCGGCAGGGTGCCACCATTTTAACACCTGGACAGATTGAAGAAATTAGACATCTCAAAAATAAGGTCCTGGTGTACATGATAGTAAATGAGTATCATATTAATAAAGATTGTGTTCATGATATATGGAACGATTCTGAGCGTTTACAGCAAAATGGAAACCACTTTTTTGAGAAGCTTAGAAAAGCACAATCTATCTCTTCGGAGAATGGTTCAGAAGTTTATGCTAAACAACCTTGTGAAGTGTCTGATGAGTCAACTCCAAAAGAATCATCTGAGGTTGTGGGGAACCCTCTGGGACCATTACCTACTGATATGAATATGCAAGAAAAGCAAAAAAAGGAAAAGAAACTGTTAAAGTCTGGATCTATTTGAAATTCTAACTCCTAAAATTTTGGCTGGGAGTTCTTGCCAAAACTCTTGACTAGATGTCTTATATGAACTAATTACTTCGATTAAAAAAGATCGTATAGAATCAGAGGAGTTCATGCGTGAATCAGAAAAGCTCTTTGCTCTTAACTCACCTCGCTAAGCTAGAATATCTAGTTAACAAGGAAAAAGAAATCAGAGGTTTTTATTAATTTCAATTAATTTAGCTTTGAAAATGAGAGTATTATACAATATTTTTTCAAGCTCCTTATAGCTCATGCATTTTTTTTTAATATATCATCATACCTATTTAACTCCTGTGAGTCCTGTGATATATTATCCAGAGTTGAGAAATCATCACAATTCAGAGTTATATTTGCATAATTTACCTCAAGCTTGTTCTTGACCTTATGCATAGTAACTGGGATAATATAATCTTTTCCATTAAGAAGAATTTTTAGCTCATTGGTTTTCCAATCCAATGCACAATTGTATTTTTCCAAAAGCTGATTAAATAATATTAATATCGGCTTCTGATATTTCACAACAATAAAATCTTCATAGATAGTATAGCCTGGGGCTAGAGTAATGGATAATTTGCGAACAACTCCAACAGATTCAACCAGAACAGTGGCAATACCACTAAGATCGTGTGTTTTAGATTTATTAATTTTAGCTCCCACATGTATAATAATATTTTCTGTTATAATGGGAGGTTCAGCCCCAGAGTCCACTATCATGGCTGGAATCTTTAAATGCTTAATTTTACACTTTATAGTTGTGACACTTGTTTTTGGCTCCTTCTTCTTAACGAAATCAATCTCCATCAGACTATCCAAATCTTCTTCCTCATCTGGATCTAGCGATACAACCTCGGTAATTAGAGAAGTATTGTATTGAGATTCTATCTTTTCCTAAATTAGAAGCACTTGATTGAGTATATTAGCTTTAATGGGGTCTTGGGAAAAATGATTAGGAAAAATTAATTTAAGTTCACTTTGGAGGACTTTACAAATAGTTTCCTCCAATAAAGTTTTAGATGTCTTTTTAAGTGATGATTTCTTGGAACTAGAGTCTTGCTTCACTTTTTTTTTAACTTAGCTATGTTAACGGTAATATCACCTCCAGAATCGGAGGAATCTTCTGAACTTGTATCAGAGTCATAACTATCACTAGAAGAAGTATCAGAGAAAGTACTTAAATCTGAATCCGAATCTACTGTAGCAAGAAAACAAACCCGTATTGGTGAATTGCTATGAGAAAAATTTGCTTTACAAATCTTATATCAACGAAATGTCTATCACCTACAATGATGTAGAGAAGATATAGGTTTATTAGAGTATAATGAGATAGGCTCTATGAACAATATGAAAAATAGAAAAATAAGACCTATACAGAGAGCCAGAATATTTTAAATTTAAATCAACAAATTTTTACACTACAGAATAATCAACAAAATCAAAGAAATATGGCAACAATCCCGGCACCAATATTTTTAGGTAATTACGATGAAGATGTTGAGATTTTTATTAGTCGATTATCAGCATATTTGGCTAGTATAAATGTGAATCCAGTTGGTGCAACAAGAGATAGAGCTTTTGGTATTTTTAGAGGATATTTATCTGGACTAGCATTAGATTAGTTCGATCAAAAAATTCTTGGTAAGGGATGAGAGCTTCATAATATCCTTGCAAATCATGGACAAGCCAATATAGCTGGTATTCAAAGACGTATTATGGCACAGATAAATACTAGCAATAGTTTTAGAAATCCTTCAATAGCCCATACCTATGCTAATACTCCTGCCAATAATGCTGTAACAGTAGGGAATTCAATAATTCCAGCAGAAGCTTTTATTGAAGATTGGAGCTTAGCTGGAGGACACCCATCGGAAAGACCCGCCAATGCAGTAAATGCAGGTAATAATAATCCTATTATATTTGATAATATACGGATTGGACAGGCATTATATTGGCTCAAGAATGAATATCCTACAGTGCTTAGTGAAAAGCGCAATCTAGTGTTTGGTTCATTAGCTCAAGGAGATGATTCTCTAGAAATATTTTATTCAAAACTTAGAAAATATAGACAAATACTTAAACTTGATGAGGAGCAAATTAAAGGTCAGTTTTTACGTGGCTTATCTCCTGATCTAGAGGATGATGCAGAACGTATTGGTACCGAACAACTCTTAGAAGAATTTTTTAGTACATTAGAATGAATTGAAACACGCAGATTGGAAAAAAGACTAGGATTAGTTACTAAAATATCTCAGTCTAGTTATAAGCCATCATCTAGATCTCATGAAAAAGATATTTACTCAAGCAATACAGGTGTGAGTAGAAATGAAATCATAGATTTGATAAAAACTACAATGGCTTCCTTACAACCTCAAATAGCTCAACAGAATGCCGATTTACAGTCTACCATTAAATCCTTTCAAGAGACTATGTCTCGAGCGACTAAAACTCTAGATAATAGTAAAAAATCATCTAA